CGGCGGAGAAGATTCCGGTGCTGAAGAGGTCTGGGAGTAACAGAGTTATGTGTTTGGACCTCAATTTGACGCCATTGGAGAATGATTTGAAGCTGCTGTTTGGAAAAATGCCTCCCAGAGTTGATCTTGTTCTTTGATTTTCAGTTCTTGCAAAAATATTGTTTTTTTTTTACTCTTACAAATTCTTTGATTTGTTCTCATGTATAATCACTTCTCATTTGTTTTCAATTATTTCTAAAGATAATTCGGATTAAATCAACAATTTTTATATTGGTTTCGGTTGCAACTATGGTTGCTTGTAATTCTATTGCTCTTTAATATTTATCCTTTTAGAGGATATTAAGTTGGGTGTCAGAAATATTTTCACATGATGTGGCATTTAGAGACTTTTAAAACGCTGTATCACGTTGTTTTGAGAGAGTTCGATTTAATTTAATGAATGGATTTTAACTTCTGAAATTTTCTTGTCAAATTAGTCGAGAACTACCACGGAATATATTGGTAACACACCACATAATACTTCATCCTCGTATCTTTCATGGTCCTCCACTTGTTTAGTTAGTCACCCTGAGCTCTCCACAATCATATAGTCAATGGAGTTTATAAGGTTGTAGATGGACTTTAGTATCTAGGCTCAATCGCCATATGGAGCTAAAACTTACTACAAATTCGTACCGCTCCCGCCTCCCACTATCAATCAACACCACTATTGGAACCACCCCTACATCTTGTATTTAAAAAAAAAAAACACCACTATTGGAGTATGGTTTGAACAAGGCAACATGTATGAAATAGGTACTCCTTTGATCCTCCAAGTTGTCCTACTTAGTGTATACTTAAAGCCCTCCCGATGACTAAGGATAAAAAACATGCAGTATTCTTCACTTCTGCCTCACTCTTCGAGTCACTCATGGACTCGTCTTCCTCTTCATCTTCATCACTCGTCTCTATTACTATCCTCCACCCTCAGGATCATGGTTCTCCTATTATGGCATTCTCGACTTATGTGTCTCATCCCATAGCATTTCCATATCCATCCACATTTCTTAATTAATATTTTCTCTAAACATTCACCTATTTCAAACTTATAAAATTCGTCAAAACAAATCATTCAACGAAAGCAGAAGCTGGTCCTCCTCAGGTTAATCGTTATCTTTGCATAACATTACAACATTCTTAACCTCCAACCCCAAAAACAAAAGAAAGAAAAAAACCAATGTTGTAATATTAGACAAAAATATGGAAAATTTGAAACCCAAGAAGTGTTTGTTACACTTGGTAGAGTACATTAGAGAGACATTGAAGGATGGGAAATTATTTAGAAAACTTTCAAAATATGCTTTCATTAATTATTTTTGCTCATTTTGTAGAGCAGAGGAATTAGATGCCTCAATTGTTAAACTTTCCATCTTATTGGCTTCAATTTCTCTTGTTTGTTTGGTGGGCAATTTCAGTTCTTCACTTGAGGAATTCCCATCTTTGTTTTTCCCCCAAACTACAAGGTACAGCCCCACAATTATCACACCAGCTCCAAGTATTCTGCAAAAAANAAAAAAAAAAAAACATTAAAATGGAATGTAAAAGTTATTTAATATATTTTTTTAATACAACGTGGGAATAATGGAAAATTGAACTCACAAATTGGGGATATATGTCAGTTATGCTGAACTAGACTCATTTTGACAATAATTTCATATGTTGGACTCATATTTTTACAATATTTTAATATTAAGCATCGATTAAATCTAATTACCTTCCAAAATAAAGACGCTCGCCGAGAATGAACGAACTCATAATAGCCACGATAACCATACTCAATGGGCTAAAGGCAGTCACAAACACAGGTCCTTTGTCTTTCATAACAAGTCCTTGGATGTAATAAGCAAGTCCTGAACAGAATATCCCCTGCAAAAATTCCAAATTATTATTAATCTCTCTAAGTTTTTTTTTCTTTGGATTTTGAAATTGGAAAATAAATTTATATGTTTCAAGATCGCTAAAATAAATACCTTAATTAGATTTTAATTCTGACGTAATCATGATTAGAGCTAGAAATTTCACGATTTTATGTCTAAATCTTTTATATATACGATCTTTCAATTTTAAAAATTTACAGGATAAATTTCAAAATTTCCGACTTATATCTTAAATAAAAAAAAATTATAGTGTGATAATATTCTTTTCATATAAAAAAAAGTATTATCGCCTTCAACTCTATGATATTCTCTAATATCCAGTTTTATATCGCATATTAAAGATAATAGAATTATTTTCATTGGTCTAATTTTCAGGTGGGGTATTTTATTTTATTTTTCTCCAAAAAAAGGGCCATGTCCAAAAATTAGAGCATCTTTCAAATTATTACAACTAATTTCATATCTTAAAATTACTCTATATTAATATTAACACACCTTTACAAATATATATTAAAATAAAATATGTTACTGTGGTTATAAATATTTAAGTAATACTCTTAGATTCATTAAAATATTCAGGGTGGGGTTTTTTTAACAAAATAAAATTAAATTCAGGGATCTTATCTTATCCCCCAAGAATTTTTATCATCCTTAATTAAGTAACCTATAATTTGTATTGAAAATAAAATGAAACCAAAATTTAAAGAACAAATCAAAATAAACATAAAATTTTAAGAATCAAATAATAAAAGAAAAGAGAGTTCTTAGTTCTTAGTGTTCTTATTTTCCAAAAAATTAAAAAAATAAAAAAAAAATCTTAGTTCTTACACTATAAACAGCGGCGAGCAATTTAGTTCCCCAAGTAATGGACCAAACCGCGGCATTTCCCCTTTCCATCACCAAAGCCAACACGGTTCCCTCCGCGGTTCCCAGCAGGCAAATCCAAGCCGTAAGAGAAAGCTCAGCCGGGTAAGCTTTCAAAGTAATTGCCTGAAAATCCCAAATGATTGTTCAATTTTTTTTTTGTTAATTGAAGAATCCCAATATTTTCTTTCCCCAAAAGTGGTAGAAAAAGTCGATTCTGTCGTTTCTTTTTCTGTTAATTTCCACATGTTATTAAACTGAGTGATGGGAATAAAATCTTCTGATGGGGAATGAGCAAAAGGTTCCGTTATCAAAAAGGGTGGTATTGGGAATCTTTGTGAATTGCGAGGGAGGGAAAAGGGCACCTGAAGAATCATGAAGCAGGCCCAGCTGAAGCAGCCAATTGTGATCATAATGGAGCCTTTGATTGTATGTTGAAGGCTGATTTCACCCCTTTGTTGTTGATGGTTGGCTCTCTCTTTTACCCAAAATAGTTCCAAAATTGGGCCTTTTATTAGGGTCATTATCATGGCTCCTCCTACTGTTGCTATGGTTCCCACCAACTTGGCTTGGCTTCTGATGCTTTTGATTTTTACCTTCTCAAGCCTGAAAAATTATTTGTTGATTTATAGGAACTTCAGTTTATGTTGTTAAGAGAGATTTGGGCTTGGACTATATGGTTTGGTGACCAAAAAGGGATGTTCTTATGGACTATACCTGAGGATCCAAGCCATTACAAAGGTAATTGCAGGTAGAATATTGCACATGGCAGCTGCAAATGTTGCTGTTGTGTACTTCATTCCCAAGAAATACAAGTTCTGATCAATTACAGGCCTGCCAAAAAGGGAAGATATAAAATGTTATGTTGGTGGAAAGATTTACAAGGAGAAAGAGAAACCATTTGGGAAGAAGTTTTTGGGGGGGGCATACTCTAGCAAGCTGAGCACCATTAACTTGGCAAAGATTGGGATTGTCATCTTTGGTCTGACTTTCCTGGGAAAAGGAGAAACCTCAAATTTTAATATGTTGGTATCATCTAAGGGTCACTTCATGCATGCATGTAAACTGTTCGATAAAATGTTCAAATGAAGGGATCTGAGTGAAAGAGAGGAAAATACTTGTCAAAAATCAGAGCAAAAGGAGCTATAACAATTGTGGCAACTGCATGGCGGTAAACAACAAGAACATAATTGCTCATTCCTTGGTTCAGAGCTGCTTTAGACAGAATGTCCATTCCTGCAAGCCCAAACTGCAAGAACACCACAGCAAAAAATGGCTTGGCTGAGACACACCATTGGCTAATTTGGACGTTCATCCTGCTCAGGAATGCTGAAGCTGGGAGAGAACAGGTGTGTTGGTACAATTCTTTAATGGCATACTGGTTCTGCTTTTATAGAAAGTAAAATGGATAAAGCTTGGCACTTATTTCTCTCTGCATAACTTTCAAGCTCATGGGAATCTATTAGGTATAAAAACATGATTAGAATCGTAAACCCACTTAATAAATACATGTTTAAGGAGGAATAATAATGTGATTAAGAAACTAATGTTTAATTTGATAGTGCTTTCAATTATTCAATTATCTTTCTGTCATTAAGTGATCTTTGCTCTCATGCCGAATCACCCTCTTTGCCATTGAGCCAATTGTATGGGGCCCCAGGGCCAAAGCACCCCACTTGCTAAAAATAATATATACACAAATTAAAATCATATATTCCTTAAAGAATTTTATTTGCTTAACCATGTATTCGATTGTTTCACAAAATGAACTTTATTTAGTGCATGTCACCAAGAATTCTTTCCCACAAGCAATTTTTTCACAACGAAGTGGAATAATAACAAATTGAATCTTTACTTTTTGTTACCCTTAGTTTATCTGTCTTATTCTATTTTGAGAATGACTGTGTTTGCAGCAGAAGTCGTTCATCAAAAACAATGCACACAGCTAAATCTTCGTGCAGATTACTCTTTCAAGAAATTTCTTTTCCATGTCCTTCACGTGTGTGAACTAAGTTATGAGTTTTTCTTAATTCAAGATTGCCAAGAGCAAAGAAACTTTTCTCAGTGTTCCAATTTATAGATTGCATATAAAAGGTTTCTTTTTACTTCTAGGTATATATTTTGATAACCAACGCATCAGAAATCCTACTCTTTGCATTATGTTCATGGCCCATCTCTATTAATCCTTAGGTAGCCTTTGCCCACCCAAGACCAATTCCAAGAAACCACGAGGGGTTTAAACTATTAACTTTTCGACTCGGGGACTTGAACATAAGACCTTGGAGGATGTCTCCTAACATTCCGAGCCCTTACCATCGAAGCCACCCTAGGGGTCTTTTTCTGTTTGTTTTATCTTTGAATTGCCATTTAGATAATTGGGAGTAAACTAATCAACCATATTCTGTGAAAAATGGTTTATATTCTTTGATTTGTAGTTATAGCAATTAACTATTCCCAAGAATAAGTTATTGTGTGTCTGCGTGAACTTATATCTGATTTAACAATAGCTGCAGATAATGCATCAAAGATTGGAATACTAAAGTAAACCATTTTGTGATTAATTGGAATATCTATGACATATTTCTAACTATTATTTCCTTTAATCTCACTTTCCTGCTTGGATACTTAGTTCCTCGAATATCTTTTATTGTCCTTTCCTCTTCTTTTCCTCCTCCTTCCCAACGCATTACTTGTCGGCATATAAAGCGATGAGATTACATTACAAGATAGTGCATGCAAGCATATTCGTTTGCTTCAAAGCTTTCTCTTTCTCTCTCTCTCTTTTAATAGGATTGAAGTATGGGCTGTGGTACACTTTTTACGTTATTACCATTTCCTGCGTGAGCTTTTTGTTAGTAACATCATTTATCTCGTTTTGTCACCAGAGATTTTGAAACTGTAGGATAAGCTTTCGATATCCTACTTGTGTTAGCACATTTCATCCCTTTTGAAAACAAGACTGCCAAATTTGTTGTCACCATCATCTGATATCGAACTGGGACTTTTTAGTGCTTGATGGGTTTTCAATTTTGATCTTTGATCTACTCATTTTCATGCTGTTGAATGAAAAAAAAAATTGTACTGTTGACAGTCTGAGACTCGAGTCCCATCGATTAGGAGAGATGTGGATGTCTTTTCATCATGGATTTTTCTCAAAATGAAGTCTTTCAGAAGAGAGAGAAGCTTTCTTGTATGGTTAATAAACATCAATATAAAGTGCAGTGTTTTTTCTTGCACTCAAGACAACATCCTTTTGATAAAGGAGTGCTGCTGGCAATAAAAAGGTTTTTGACCACAACTTTTGAATTACTTTCTGTTTGCTGAGGGTTACATTTGCAATGGTTTAAGGAAAGGAAAGGAAAGGAAAACCTTTCATCTTTGTTCAACCTTTTTTCCTTTTTCTCATTTTTGATATGGGGATTGGAGAAAATGCCAAGTCTTTGGTCAATCCACACCCAATTATTTCAACTTTACAACTTTCTTTGATTTTACTTTAATAATGCATGAGGCACTGACTAGAATCAAAGTAATTGGCTTGATATTATATGGTTCAAACATAAAGGACCCTTGAGATCAACCAATAGCCCGTAGTTTAGAGCCTCTTGAACTAGTAATCTCATGATTCCCCCAAAAAAATCTCTCTCAATAGATTGAGATGGACTATCCTCTACTGTCAAATGCTGTGGTATTGGTCCCATTTATTTGACTGTTCAAACATATCAAATTAAGCAGTAATCAGTAAATTCATCTCCATAAACATAGGAATATCTCAGGATTTTAAGTGGAGTAAGTACGATCGGCCCCCACCGGCTGAAATCAAGGTACAATTAGTACAATTAGGGGTAAGAAGATTCAAATCTTCTGAATTAGAACTTCAAATCAATTAGATGTTATGGATTAAACCTCAAATCAGATGAGAAATTAACTGAAAGTCTAAGATGAAAGAAAACCTTCAAATGCCTCACTTTGCATTATTTTTTCACTTTGCTGATTTGTTTGATTGTGCTTTTGGTGTTGCCTCAGCCACTACTTATTACACAGATCCAACACCTTGATCTTTTATAAATCTGTGTAGGAATCCATATCCGATCTGTAACCCATTAGACTCTTTCTTTTTTAGATAATGGGTCTTTCATGGACCCATCCATAGGAAATGTAAATTTGTTGTCAAAAGATGGATATGTTTGCTTTGCTATATTATGTAACCTTTCACATGTCATACTCAGACAGCATTTTCTCTCTCTCTACCCAAGGAAAAAAAAACACCCAACAAAAGATTAAGAGAGAAATTAGTGGATATGTTAATGGTGGTTAGTGAGGTTAAAATTCTATTCCATCTCTCTCTCTCTCTCTCTCTCTCTCTCTCTGTTTTGTTAATGGCAATTGAGCCATATGGCATTTTCTCTCTCTAAAAAGATTTGCAGGTTGGTGGAAGCTGAGCAAAGAAATTCAGATTCTATTACGTGGGAGGGTTGGATAATGCATCCTCCTTCTACGCTTTGTACTTGACAGGTTATTCCATGGGAAGGGAATATAATCCTCTGATTATTTTCTTTTTCTTTCTTACCAAACAAACAGATGTTGGGATTTTCTTCTATAATATTCACTTGATAGCCATTGGGGAAAAAAGAAGAAAAAAGAAATGCTCTTTTGGGTAATTTCCATGTCTCTTATTTGGTGGTTTCTTCTTCCCCTCAAGTTGTCATTCCTATGACATTTCTTAATCAAATTGTATTTCTTATTCATTGCTTTTTCCTGCCCACTCGATTATTTTTTAATGTCATTTCTTCATTGTGATTATAATTTAAATTTTTGATCTCAAAATCTTGCTCATGAATCTAACTGGTAAATTGAGCAAAATGTGGTGACATGAGCATAACTCGAATTTTTGTCTTGTATGTCATGTGAAATTATTTAAGATGGGCATAAAATTCAACCAATAAAGTTACAAAATTAGATGAATTCAATTAAGAAATATATGGATCCAACCACAAGATTGATTGCTGTTTTAGTAAAAAACACGTTTGTTTTGCTTAATCACAAGAAGCCACGCCTAACTACAATTTCTTTTGGGAAAAAATGAAAAGTGATATTAATTTCACGATTTTATTTAAGTTTCAATTCAATTAAATCAAAAACTCACTCGTAAGTACAAGAAAAAAATAAAAAGCATCTTTTCCTTTTAAATGTAAACTATAAAGAATAAATCGGCTTAAGAAAACCCAATAATTAGTAACCACAATGAAATTATGAGTTCCCAATAAATATTTCTTTCCTAATAAAGAATCAACACTAAAAGCAACAACTTTATAAACTTTACTTAAAATTCACATTGATTGATTTAAAAATGGCTGCAAGAGCTTTTAAAACAACTAGTTATTAGATTAGAATTAAAAACTAAAGTCTTCTTTCTTTTATTATTATTATTTTTTTTTTCATTTCCTTTTTATTGACTACCGTGGACTAGTTTGTTAAAAAGCCTTCTAATTCTATTGTGAACTTTGTAGTTAATTAGATATTTTTGGGGGCTGAAAATTAAGAAGTTTAGAGCATTTCCACTGTTTTCTTATATCATATTATGTAACCGTAGGATTTAAAAAATAATACAACTAAAATGAGATTTAAACTTTTTTCAGTGAAGCTTGCGGCGTGGTTGGTTATGTGTCATGTAATGTAACAGAGAGAGTAAAGGAAAATAGATTATTTTAAAAAACAGAGATTTTGGTGATGTGTGATCTCACTTTCACTCCCACATATTTTGCTTTCCACTACTGATTTTTTTTTTTTTTTTGAGTGCTTTTAACCCTCTCACCAATTCAGGTTATTGGGTAATGTAATCAGCTTTCAATCATTCCTACTACCCTTTTGTTTAATCTTTGTTTTTTTATTATTACTTCTTGAAAAATTGAGTTGTAAGCTTTTTGGTGTAGATGATAAGAATTGAGGCTACATCTTTCTTACATTGTTATTTTATTGTGAAGATCCAATTATTGTTTGGATGTTTGTTTGGTTGATGCCAACACTCTTCTATAATTTTATTTTTGTTATGTATGATGTAACTTTTTTTTTTTTGTTCTTTGTGGGAGGGGACAATCATTTAAGTTGTTAAGATTACGCAAGGATGAATTGTGTTTTAAGATCAAATGAAATCGAACAGTATGTTGAAATATAAAGCAAGCAAGAACAATTTTTTTTTAAGTTTTTAAGACATATATTCAATAATTTTGCAAGGTAAATTCATCTTTCGCTGGTGTTTGAGATTAAACAAACGTTAACTTCTAAATTCTAATGCAGTTAGAATTTAGAGTGGCAGTTTTAGAGAAATTGGATTGCAGTTTTATTACTATAAAAAATTAGCTTCTGAAATTAAACTAAGATGGTCATTATTCAATGGTTAATATTTGAGGATAAAGTAAAAAATTATTATCTATTTATTTGATGAGCTAACAATTATGTCCAGTTGATGGTATTTTTTTAATTGCCACATGTTGTACTAAAAATAGAATGTATCTCCAACTTCACTTCACCTAATTGGTATTCTTAATTTAGTATAGTGGTTCAAATTAATCGGGTTGAATTATAATTTTAGCCCTCATTGTCATGACAACTTCTATATGATGTCACATTAATCTTCAATCATGAATTGAACGATGAAACTTGTGCTCACACATACGTACTAGAATAAAATGAAACAAATAAGATCACCGCAGCTAAAACATCAGAGTACGAATTGAAAGCATAAAGTATAGCCAAGTATGGTTACTAGTTCAATCAAATGGCTTGGACAGATTTGGGTAGTAATTCCAATTGGTGAACGCAAAGAACCTTCTATCTAATAGTGAACACAGACAGGACGTGATTTGAGAGTACAAACTAATCTAGCGAAATTTTTGCAACCTGTTGTCTTAATGAAATGATATGTCTTCTTCCCGAATGACTTGGATAATGTTTTATGAATTCAGCAATCCATTATGAAGATGCATTGATCCAATTCATCATGCTAATAAGAACAAACCAATTCACATAAACAGCAAAGGATCATTCTTATAATTAATTGGGAAAAATGGGAAGAACTTGACAGGGCCCAGCCAATTTATGGAGACAATTCCAGGCTATTCCATTCCAAAACCAGAAAGTGGGTGGGGTCCAGGATATTTTATATGGAAAGAGAAGAGATGGGATGGTAAATAGAACCTGCTATGGTGATGTGGACCACTTGCATTTGCCGGCAATCGTACGAGCCCGCCATTAGTATTATCTCAAAGGGCAGAGCTGCGAACAAGCTTAAGAACAGGTATTGACTAGGTAGCTAATAGATATCAATGTGTGAAGAAAACAGAGAGAAGACAGTAAAAATGGCTCATATTTAGGCTTACTCAAGGTGTGTTTCCCTTCCCACCAAGTCATCCAATCCAACAGATACCATCATTTCAAATATGGCTGCTATTTCTTTTCCAAGCTGGATCAAATTAAATTTTCATGGAGAATGAGGTAAAAAAGTGTGTGGAAAATCAACTAATATATAATTAATTTCTCAAATAAGGATATCTGTCTGTTGTCATTCACACTCAGATTAGCACTAGTTGGGAAAAAAATATGATAATGAGAACTGATACAAGCAGGCAGCAGTGATATAGTTGTAACAGGACCGATCGATAGTTTCCACAAATGGTTCCTTAAGAATGTACCCTTGAGATCCCATCGACATGGCTTGCTTAAGAACCACAGCATGCTGATTTTTGAGCAGCTTGAGCAGCCCCTGCCCCCTGGTCTGGTTGGTTAATCTTGATTGTCTGAGGCTGCAACATCCGAAAGTAGAATGCATATCAATCACATGGAAATAATTTCATTGAATCGAAGAATGTACTTATTATATTCATGGGTTCCATCTCAAAACTAATTGGCAATGAGAAGAGTAGTCCATCTCTATTATAAACCTATGTAAGGTCCCTTCTTTTATCAATGTGGAATCCTTGACATGCCCCCCAATATCGTAGCTCTTTTGACTCATCAATCTTAGTCGGATCCTTTTTTTTTTGGATCGGTTGCTCGTTTGAGCGTTTTGGGCTCTGATACCATATTAATATTCATGGGGTTCCATCTCAAAACCAATTGGCAATGAGAGAAGTAGGTCATGTCTATTATAAACATATGTAAGGTCATTTCTTTTATCAATGCTTAACAGTACTGTGCATACTTACACAAGGCACAACAAACTAATATAAATACCATGAAAGCAAAGAAATAAGTTATAAGATATTGTTAAACATATAAGACAAATTGGTGGCTTTCCAAGACATAAATTAGACTCGATATCATTAGAGAGCAAATGAAAAGGTGATGCAACTGGCAAAGATATTTTTTTTATATATAAACCAACAATTAAACTAGTAGCATACTTGGAACTTTTACATAAACTAGATGTTAGAATATTTATCTCTTACTTTTTATCCGACAAAAGATCTACATATTTGGATTCTAGGATTGCTTTTGCCCCCATGAACTTTAGATGAACAAGTTTCTTGTAATTTTATTCTCATTTAAGTTGAGGATTTCTCTCCGTACCTCGTCCAAACTTTAAACAACTTTATTCATTTCATTATGATCTTTGCTTTCTTTTTTTATGATCTTTGCTTTTTCTATCAAGATAATAAACAGATGATGTATAATAATTTCAAAAGTGCATGGTCGGTAAAGAAGTATACATGAAATTTAGCTACTGATTATTTAAAAGACCATACCTCTGCTTTTGAATCAGTATCTGCGAGTCTTTGTTTAATATCCCTAGCTATTGAGAAGAAAACTTCTTCCACATTTAAGTTCGTCTTAGCACTCTGTAAAACATAAGATCTTTAGAATAGAACGCCCAATAGGTATTTTATTATAGTTCTCAGAGCGAACATGCATAACTCACAGTCTCAAAAAACTTGATGCCATATTCATCTGCAAGAGCTTGACCCTTTGAGGTGGGGACAGCCTGAGAGAAGATTATTGTCAAAAAAATGTCAACTGACATGGAAAACACAGGCAGGAAGACACGTATGGAGAGAGAAGGAGAGAGGGCATACCCTTTTGCTCTCATCCATGTCAGCCTTGTTACCCACCAGTATTTTGTTAACATTGTCAGAAGCATGTTGTTCAATGTTACGAATCCAGTTCCTAATGTCTGCAGAAAGAAATCGGCTTAAGTCATAAAGCTAGGAGAAGCTAAGAAGATTATTGTCTACAAAAAAAGAACTCCAGTACATTCATTGGCACTGATAAAAGCATTGAAGGAATCTTCTCAAAATTGTGGTGAAGATTAATGGAAGATCGGGACTTAGAGACTCACAAATAGATGGTCACTAAAATACTGTGAAGCTAATAAGAAATATGGAAGGAGATAACATTACTGTTAAAGGAGGACTCATCAGTGACGTCGTACACAAGCAAAATACCCATGGCTCCACGATAATAAGCTGTAGAGGATAAAAAAGTGCAGAATTGGTGAAACTTGGGGGAAACTGAAAAAATCACCCCTGAACTACATGAGTTGTAACAATATTTTGGCAACTATACTCCTTCAATTTTATATTCAAGAATATTTGGAAACTAAAATATTGATTATGAAAATATCAATGATTGTAAAAGTTGTATTAAACTTAATAACTAAAATATTGATCATGAAAATATCATTGACAATTGGACAAATAAAATTATATTTAATGTGTATTACTTCCTCGAAAATAAATGATAATTTACCA